ATTTATATTGTTACTGGAAGGATGAGACAGGGGTTATTAGTTATCTACTGTGTCTGTGTAAGGGCACAATATTTTTCTTTATTTTTCATTTTGCTGTGGGGCTGCCCTGCTGCAAACTGCAGGCACTATCAGGTGCGGACAGCAGTGGTGGCCCATAAAGCAGAAAAGCTCACGCCAGTGGTGGCCTCACACTTCACTAACAGGTTTTCTCTTGTCCCAGCCCTCCTCTCACTGAGGGCTGATTTTCCAAACTTGGGCATGGCTGCAGAAGCTCTGCGTTGTGTAAAATAGGTGCAAGATGGCATGTGAATGGGCTGGCTGTGTCCCCTCTCAGTTAATCGGGACTCTTCTCTCCATCAACTGGCATTTAAATCCAAGTGATACTCATGGGGTGAGCACCCCGACTCCAAGGTGTGGATGGCAATGAGGAGTCCAAGGCACTGATAGCGATGAGTCCAAGGCTTGGATGGTGATGAGTCCATCCAAGGTGTTGATGGTGATGAGTCCGTCCAAGGCTTGGATGGTGATGAGTCTGTCCAAGGTGTGGATGGTGATGAGTGAGTCCAAGGCTTGGATGACGATGAGTCTGTCCAAGGTGTTGATGGTGATGAGAGAGTCCAAGGCATCGATGGTGATGAGTCCAAGGCACTGATGGCGATGCTCAGAGCACTGAGGTGTCCTGTGTGGCCACAGGGCACAGCGCAGAGCTCTGTCTCCAAAAAGCAAACCATTTTAAGCTTTCCTAAGCTTGTAACTCCATTTCAAATGAGGTAGTGGCTGAACTCCAGCTCACACAGGTGGAAGCTGTTGTTTGGTAACTCTTCCTTAGGCTGGGGGTGATCAAACACGACTGTGACACATAAGATTCTCCCATAGATTGGTGCCTACACGTTCCTTGCAGGTTCTTCTGCAAAGGCTGGAGCATCATTACAGTAAAGCCACCAGCTAAAGGGCTTCTCTAGGTGCAGTTTTCGTGCTGCATCATGGGGTTTTGCTTAGCGTTGTGTTTCTGATGCTTCAGCTAATGACTCATTTAATGGAGTTTCCACTTGCCTTGGGTATTCTCTTCCCTGCAGACTACTCTGGGGAGCGTGCCGGGGTCCCAGCTGGGAGCTGTGCTCCTTTTCACCTTCTCTTGCTCCGGGGTGTCGGGCAGCTCTGCTCTCGGATGGGCTAGGTGCTCCCAAAAGAAAGGAAGAGGCTTTCCATCTTTTACAAAATATTCAGTGCTGAGTGATTTCTGAAAATCAGTCTGACTTGGTCCCTTAGGACCCAAGGAAGTGATGTGATAAAAGCCGTACAGACTGAGGAGCGGCTTTCGTTTCCGATAAACCTTAAGTGATGCTGATGATAAGGGAGTGTTAGGGTGCAATTAGGGAAATGGTGATTTTTTTCAAGCTGCCGTGCCTTTTTGCAAGTGGAACGTCGGAGATCTGTGGCCTTTAAGGTGACATTAGCGGTGGGGCTGGAGCTGTGCTCAATTTAGCAGAGTGCAGGGAAAGTGAATGTGGTGCTTTCTGGCTCTGAGGCTTCTCTCCCTGCTCTCGCGTGCTGCTGAGGACTCCAATCTTCCCGAAGCTTTTTCTGGGGGAATGGTTGGAAATGGATTGTCAGGGCTGACTGCGCCCTCCCCGTCACCCGGCTGATAAATGATTTAAGGAAGCGGCGAGCGGTGCTGTAAAATACATTTGGAGAAAAAAAAAAGCAAACAACCCACTGTAACGATAGCTCTTCAAAATCAGCGTCGCTGTTTTGACTCGAGATGCTGCTGGTTGAGAAGGGACCTCTGTCGGGGCCAACACCGTGCTTGTTCAGCAAAGCCCACAACCAACCGAGTGTTTCTTGGGGATTTGATACCTTCCCCTTATATTTTATTCCTAATTTCCTCCAAAACACTGCTTGTGGAAAAACTGGTAGCACTTTTCCAGGCTTCCCCCGCAGCGCCCCTTGATGCTTATTTAATATTTTCTCTGGTTGCAATCCCCACCGAAAGCATGGTTTGCCCTGCAGTTTTCTTCCCGCTGAATCAATTCCTTTTTGCCTTTTCATGAGACTTTTCCCCCCTTTTTTTCTGCTTCCTTGAGCTGCCTGGCAAAGCTCCTGAGGGATTTGCAGACCGGTGGAGTGTTTTTTTCCTCCCCACCCCCTGTTGGTGTTTCTGGCAGTACATCCTCCCTCCCCATTCACCCTCCGCCAGACAAACCCCCACCATCTCCAGAGACCTCCGGGGGAGGGAAACAGATATAAGGGCAGGGTTGTGGGTTTTTTTTACCAAAAGCCTTCAATTTCAAATCAATTCTGCCGTGGCTGAAGTTAAACAACAAAAAGCCTTTCTGGGACCTGAGGATGCTCGGAAATCCCTGGGTGAGAGCGGGGGACAGTGGTGCCCCCCACCAGCATGGCCAAGGCTGCAGGAGCTTTGCTGCTTGAGTTAATTTAATAACCTAGCAGAAAAAAAAGGCAATTTTGTGCCAGGCTACAGAGATTTCAAGAGCCAGGGAGACAGCAGAAAAGAGCCAGGAGAGGCTGATTTTTAAAACTCGGCTGCTGCAGTGTTTTCCCATTATCAAATCAGAAGCAATTAATGCCATAGCTGGACTTAGTTAATCTTTTTTTTTTCTTTTTCCAGCTAGAGGATGCCTGTTGCAGAGCTCCGTGAGCCTGCTGGGCTGCAATTACAGGACAGAGGTGCAGAGCTGAGAGGAATAACCTCCAGGCTGTAAGGAATTATTTTTAGCATGAAACTATAGCTACACTTTGGGAAAAGACGTATAAATGAGAGTAACCCTGGCAGCTGGCCCATGGAAAGGATGTCTAAAGGGCATTCCAGTTAAAGGGGCTCCAGGAAAGCTGGGGAGGGACTCTGGATGAGGGAGGGGAGCCCTAGGAGAAGGGGGAAGGGTTGGACACTGAAAGAGGGGAGATGGAGCTGAGATGTGGGGAAGAACTTGTTTGGTGTGAGGGTGGTGAGAGCCTGGCCCAGGTTGGCCAGAGAAGCTGTGGCTGCCCCGTCCCTGGAGGGGTTCAAGGGCAGGTTGGAGGGGGCTTGGAGCAACCTGGTGTGGTGGAAGGTGTCCCTGCCCAAGGCAGGGGGGTTGGAATTCGATGATCTTTAAGGTCCCTTCCAACCTGAACCATTCTGTGATTTTATGATGCTTGTCAGTGGATTTCTTCTGGCACGCTGGTTTAATGGTGACGAGGACATAATCGGACCTCGGGTACCATTTGGATGCCTGGGGAAGGATTGCTGGAAATGAGTAAATACAGCTCTGTAGGTCATCTTAGCTCACTTCCCTGCAGTTTTGAGCCCCACTGTTCAGCAGCACAACTGCGTTTCAAGAAGCACTGCTCATATTGTGACAGAAGCCCCAGTGTTGCTTTCCTTGCTGGAGGAACCACCTTGTGGTGGCTTCTCTGGTGTTGCTCCCAAACTTGCACGCTGGTTTAATGGTGACGAGGACAGAATCGGACCTCGGGTACCATTTGGATGCCTGGGGAAGGATTGCTGGAAATGAGTAAATACAGCTCTGTAGGTCATCTTAGCTCACTTCCCTGCAGTTTTGAGCCCCACTGTTCAGCAGCACAACTGCGTTTCAAGAAGCACTGCTCATATTGTGACAGAAGCCCCAGTGTTGCTTTCCTTGCTGGAGGAACCACCTTGTGGTGGCTTCTCTGGTGTTGCTCCCAAACTTGAGGTGTTCCCATCCAAAAGAATCCACTTCTCCCCAAGGTTTTGTCTTCCTTCAGACCTTTGGGAGGTAATGGAAATAGTAGCCACCCAGCATCATTCTGTGAAGGGTTGAGAAGGGGGTTTCTCCTGGACACGCTGCTTTCCTTGCTGGTGGAAGCACCTTGGGGTGGCTTCTCTGGTGTTGCTCCCAAACTTGAGGTGTTCCCATCCAAAAGAATCCACTTCTCCCCAAGGTTTTGTCTTCCTTCAGACCTTTGGGAGGTAATGGAAATAGTAGCCACCCAGCATCATTCTGTGAAGGGTTGAGAAGGGGGTTTCTCCTGGACAGAAGGTCTCTGATGATGGCACGTCTTCTGTAGAAGGGTTGAGAAGGGGGTTTCTCCTGGACAGAAGGTCTCTGATGATGGCACATGGTCTGTAGAAGGGTTGAGAAGGGGGTTTCTCCTGGACAGAAGGTCTCTGATGATGGTACACGTTCCTCTGTCCCCTTTCAGCCATGCCCTGCTCTGTCTCTGAGGGCAGCAGCCTGCGGGAGGGCTGAGGGCTCAGCAGCGATGGTGGGAAGCAGGAACGAGCCAGTTTCTCACCCAGATGGTTGTTGACACTGCTGGTGTAGTTTCAAACCCAGCAAGCCTGCTGCTTTGGCCCGGTGACTCCTCATGTGCTGGCCTGCACAGGCCATGGGAACAACAGCTTTGGACAACCTCAAGCAAATCTTGGATTAAGGCAGAAGCCACAGGCTCCTAAGACGTGCTCCAAAAAGCCTGCACTAAGCTTAGTCGTTGCCTTGGAACTTGAAAAGACACGTACACAGCGAAATGCAGGTGCCCAGCTCCTGGCGTCCATCCCTCAGGGATAGTTTTCCTCAGGCCAGTCGTTTCTGTAGTGGTGACCACAGATCGTGGAGTTGCACCCTCGTGGGTAAAAAGTGCCTACCCTTTCCCTGTCCTGCAGATGGCCAGGCAGCCAGGTGCTGCGATGCTTCTTCCCGAAACCCTCCCCAGATCCACTCCTCAATGCTGCACACTTTGTTCTCCCCCAAAATGATACCATCTCGGGTCTGTAAACAGAAAGAGCAGCTCCAAGAGGCGTAACCTTCTCAGTGTTGTCTTGGCTCCAAGCACCAATATCATTGTTCTTCTGGGGCTCATCTTCGTAGCGTTTCTACGTCAGTAGACTCTGTGAGGATGATGGCCAAAGATATATTCTGACCGAGGAGGAAATGAGGGTGAAAACTGGATAAATGTTACTGAAAGTTGCCGTGTGCATGCCTAACGAGCCTTAATTTTCTTTTCCTTCCTGCTTCCAGCTGAAGAATAAATTCATGAAGAAGCTGCCCCGTGACGCCGAGGCCTCCAACGTGCTGGTGGGGGAGGTAGACTTCTTGGAGAGTCCTTTCATTGCCTTCGTGCGGCTGCAGCAGGCCGTCATGCTGGGTGCTCTGACCGAAGTCCCTGTACCTACCAGGTAAGAGAATTCAGCCCCCAGGCAGGGGACAAGAATTGCAAACTGCATTTCCACCTTTGAAAATAAAAACAGCAGGCCAGAAGAAGACATTCTCTGCTTTTTCCCCATCATACGACGTGCATAACGTTAAGGATTAATGGTTTAAAATAACAAAACTCACCATAAATACTTAATCATCTTCAGGTCCTGAATTTGGTTATAAGATATAAGCTGTAAAATCCACAGACACACAAACTTAATGACTTGGCAGGAAAGGGCACTATTGATGTGAAATTTCACTATTGGGGCTTTTTTCCTGCCCCTTGTGATTCTCCCCCAACACACACCGTACACACCTCAGGTTCCCTCCATACGTTTTAGCAGTTAATATTTTTCCTCTTAAAAACTCAAATTTGGTGAATTTTCACCCTGCTGGGGTGAAAAATAAAGGTAAACTGGGGGATTTATTTCTGCCAGGGGTGGTCTCGCTGTGTGTCGCTTCGTAACGCATAACGGTCCAGAGAAAAATGTCACATAAATATTTTATTTGTTGTGGCTCACGTCGCAAATTAATCTGAGCCTTGCAAATGTGAATATATCTTACGTTCTTAAATATTTGAATTCACTGCCTGGCTGTCTGGAGCCTGAGTGTATAAGTCTTCCAGATAAAGTCCTGTTGGAATTCTTAGCAATATTACCCTTAGTTCTGCACTTGCCTGTTGTTTATCATGTAGGGTAGCAGGGAAGAATTGTCACCAGAGAGGTCCAGAATGTCTGCTGTACGTGGGTGTTATGTAGTAGCACACCACCAGGGCAAGAACTGTAAAAAAGATGAGGATTAAAAGGTAATTAAATGCACCGAGTGGAGCAGAGTTTCCAGGGGAAGGGCCAGGGAGGCTGGAGGTGGGGGGGTCTGTGGTGTCCCCTCCTCAGCTCCCCCCTGGTCCCTGCTTTGGTATCACTTTCCAAAGGCTTTACTCTGCATTATCCCTTCTGATTACGGAGTTCAAATTGCACCTTTCCCTGATGTGCAAATACATATTTTATGTGAAGGGTTTGAAGGGCTTTCGATAGGGAGTGAAGGTTGTAATTTGAATAACACCTGGAGGGTTTGGGGCTGTATCAAGCAATATTTTGGGAGGAGAGGCTTAGAACCATGACAAAACACATGGCTGATGCATTACTGATACTGGAAAGAACCACGGACATTGTGTGGAATGGAAGTTATTATAATATGGTCATTAAAATCTGTACCTTAATTTCCATGTGCGAAACAAAGGAAAAAGGTGGTCTAGTTTTCCTGTTTAATTGCCTTCAAGTAACGCAGCCGTGTTTGTATTTCATGGAGTTTCTTACAATAACCTCAGCAGTTTGCACACACCGGGTTTTCTGGTAGGAGTAGGGGGGGGATAAAACTACCTCGATTTTATAAAAGATGATTCTTCATTCCTCAGCATTTCAGATTCAAAGCCTAATCCCACCTACTCTTTTTTTTTTTAAAAAAAAAAAAACCACATCTCCGAATGCTTTTCAGCAGACCTAAAATTAGGGATTGTTTGTTTTGGTAGTGGGAGCCAGGAAGTTAAATCGAGGATTGCTGAACGACCTCATTATTCAATAGCATTAATCAAGACAATATGTCCTTCCATGCCAGCGCTTTTTCCAGGAAATACTATTATCCCTCTGCCGTTCCTCCAAACCGAATTCTAGCCCTAATCAAAGCAGGGAGGCTCATTAGTTGGCTTTCCTGAGTAATGAGGAGCCATTTGCGATGGCTGCATCCTGCTCAATCCAATCAAGGAAATCCCATCAGGGCCCAGACGAGCTCTGATGGAGCGGGCGTCTCCTCGGCCATCTCTCACGGCGGCCCGGTGGTGGACCTGCACTTTACAAGATGCTGGAGCTGGAGCCTTCAGCTTCCCCCCCTTCTTCTCTCCCTTGGCACTTCTCCTCTTATTTCGTTAAATTATCAAATTCTGGTAAAATAGTTAAACCCCCCGGGGCTTCTAAGTAAGCAGGAGCCACCGTTTCCACGCTGTGGGTGGCTGGAGGAGTGTGGTGACCCAGGTCTATGGAGCAACCACAGCGGGACCTGCCTCTCTGCATCCATCTCTCTCTTTAAAAAGTGCTGGATTGTTTTTATATGGGGCAGGTGGGGGGTTAAACACACAGGTTTTGGCATGGGGTTGTAGCCACGGTAGTCTGTGACATGGAGAGGAGGTGGCCTTCACATGGCCTTCTATTCTCATGGTGACGTCCATGGCTGGAGATGCTGTTGCACAGCAATCCAGGACGTGTTTCTGTGTTTCGTAGAAATCTCATGCTCTGTAGCTCCAGATATACCAAATGTAGAATCACAGGCTTTGAGCAGCCTGGTCTGGTGGGGTGGTAGGTGTCCCTGCCCATGGGAAGTTGGAACATTGAGCTGGAACTCAATGATCTTTAAGATTCCTTCCAACTCTAACTATTCTATGATTCTATAGAATTCTAGAAAATCTAGGTTCTAGAAAAATCTAAATTCTGGAATGCTATAGAATTCTAGAAAATCTAGATTCTAGAAATACCTAGATTCTAGAAAAATCTAGATGCTGTAATTCTCTAGAATTCTAGAAAATATAGATTCTAGAGACCTAGTACTGTAGGAAGATGGAGGATTATGGTGTGCGTAAGGCAGACAGCGTTCAACATGTGGGCTTCCAGTTCAATGTCTTACTTATTTCTGCTGGGGTTTGGGGTTTTTTTTTTTCCTTCCTCCACACATTCTTTGGCTTGGGTTTTTCTTATAAGTTGAAGAATTTTGGATGCTTTGGAGAAGTAAGATTTCCTGTGTAGAAATGACTCTTCCTTGGATGCATAAATTTTCTGTATCTTTTTTCCTTCACGCTTCCTTGCTAAGTATTTGAAGTATTTCCTCGACTTAAAAGTAAATTTTTACTTAAAAGAAAGCAGCAAGGTCTGATGAACTTTCCAGGAAAAGTTTCTCAGCAGGGTCTTTTCATACGTCTTACTTATTTCTGCTGGGGTTTGGGGTTTTTTTTTTTCCTTCCTCCACACATTCTTTGGCTTGGGTTTTTCTTATAAGTTGAAGAATTTTGGATGCTTTGGAGAAGTAAGATTTCCTGTGTAGAAATGACTCTTCCTTGGATGCATAAATTTTCTGTATCTTTTTTCCTTCACGCTTCCTTGCTAAGTATTTGAAGTATTTCCTCGACTTAAAAGTAAATTTTTACTTAAAAGAAAGCAGCAAGGTCTGATGAACTTTCCAGGAAAAGTTTCTCAGCAGGGTCTTTTCATACGGCCCTCGTAATAAAAATGGGGGACCTGAAATCGGTGTAGGTAGACCCCAGGCTTTCACTGTGTCTGGGTTTTTTTGTTCACCGATGGGAGTGAAAAAAAATTTAAGGACTTTGGTTTTCTCACATTGATTTTAATTGCACAGCTCTACAAACTCCTCGTTTTGGCAAGAGCCTGTCTCTGGTGCTTGCACCATGGCTTGGGTACGGCAGCCTCTCCTCCGGACACTGCAATAGATGGGGAGCCTTTTATTTTCATCAAAGAAACGTGCAATTACGTGTTCAGGTTCTGCTGCGTTAACGTAATGTTGGTGGGGAAAGAAAAAAAAAAAAAAAAGATGAAGAATGAGCAAGGGAGAGATTTTTTTTGGAGATAAGCTGCACAGACTTGCACGGCCTAATGTGTAGTGCTGGGAAATCGCCCGCGTCTACAAGTCTCACACAAAATGAAGCAACTTGCCCAGAGGTCACTTAGGAAGCATGTGGCAGAACCAGGAGTTGGAGTCTCCTCCCTGGCTTCCTCACTTCAGCTTTTAGCTGCAAAGGCATCTCTTCTTCTTTGTAGGTGAGGATGAAACGGTTGTCTTGCTCATGAATTAAAGCGTTGAGAAGGTTTGCGGGGCTGTGTCCCTTTAGCAGCTTTTCCAGCAGGACTTGCTGTGGGAAATCAGAGCTCCAGCAGCAAAGGACTACCTTTGTCTTCTGTGTTCATGTGTTGGACACCATGTGAGAAGCTTGTTGGTACCAAACGTGTTGGTACACTGTCCCGAAACGTGAAGGATCCCCTGTGTGAAATAGAAAACAAGCTGAACACAATCTCCTTTCCTTACTGCAATCTACAGTTGTGCTCTTTTCATCAGAGTGTGGTCCAAGCCATAGATTCTGCTGGAAAAATACATCGAGATGTTGTTCTTTCAGCCCTTGAGTCCATCAACATGTGTCTCTATTGGGAATGCTGGATGCCTTTCAGGCATCTCACGTGGTGTCCAACAGCAGAAGGACCACTTCCCCCCACCCATAACCAATAACATTTTCCCCAGGACCTTACTGAGTTTCCTTTGTGTAGGTGCCTTTAACCCTTACGGAGTTGCTGCTCTGGCTTGCTCCAGATTTGGGAGACAGACATGGATGAGCAGGCTCAACTTGAATCTTGTTTTAGTTGCTCTTCCTCTTTTTTTTTTTTTTTAATTTATTTATTTATTTATTTATTTTGGAGGCTAGGGATGGGACACAGGACAACCTTGTCTCCTTCGTGGTCAGCTTGCAAAGAGACCATGGTGAGGCTTGGTCCTGGGACAGTTTTCACCATGACCCTTGCCCTGTATGGGAACTTGATAGTCTCAGACATTACAGATTTCTTGCAGGATGTCCCAAATGGATGGCAAAATATTAGTGCTTTGGAGCCTGTGTTGTATTCACTCTCCAGCTCCTAAGTGTGCTCTTCATGTGATTTCATGGAGGTTTCTGGCCAAATTTCTCAGAAGCACAACACGTAAAGCCTCGTTGCCTCTTTGGCCAAACTAGATTGAAGTTCTGCCCTGGGGTCTTTGGTGTCACCTCCCACCAAGGTCCAGGAGGGTTGTGTTTGCTCGTAGCAGGTTGTTTGCTCCATAACCCCACGTTAGCAGGCTTGTGCACAGTGTTGCTGTGTTGCTACGTTTAGATCTTCTACATGCATTGTCTGGGTTTATGAGGCATTTGTCCATTTTGAATTGGAATTACTCATCTGTGAGAATGAATTTATTCTTGGTTGGTTTGGTGGCATGGTCCATATGATTAAAAGGTGAATCATACATAGTCAGTGGTCATCCTTAAGAAGGGTGAAGCGTGCAAAAATGAGAGGAGGAATAGTGTTTTAGGTAAAACAGAATAATAAATCACTGAGTTTGTGGGTCATTATCAGCTTGGAAGGATTTGGAGGGCTTTGTTGGTGCTGTCGTACAGAGTTGAAGGCCAGGTGTCCTGGGTGTGAGGGCTGTCAGCCCCGCCTGGAAGCTGTTGTCCAGGGCATTTGGGAGAAACATTAAATTTTATTACTGCTTCAGAGAGCCTTTGAGCTGAGTGATACAAGGTGGAACCTCCCATTCCCTGCGTTGAAGCATCCTTAGCGATGTGAGGTATCAGAAGTGGACATGTTGTGTGCAGCAGAGAGGGATTCTGTGCTGGCGATCCACAGCAGATGAAGAGGAGAGGAGAACATCACAACTAGAAGGGAGGGCTTTCTTAGGTGGAATTATTCATCACTGAACAATATTAAATGCATGCAAACATGATCTTGTCCAAACCTCCAAAATGCATTAATGGTTTTGTGTTTATAATGTTTGGCCCTTTCAGAGGTCCTGTTCTACATGCTTGAAGGCAGTTCTGAGCTCAATCAGTCAGGACAAAGAATTCAGAAAGTGTCACGGGCTGCTTGTTTTCAGGAACATTTTAGTAAATGCAAGAGCATCCAGGTACCTCTGTTACGCGTTGGAGGAGAGCCAGCTGATGTAATTATGTCAGAAGATGGTTGGAAAACGTCTTGTTCACCTGGAAAAATCAGGAGAATGCTGAGCTGCAACTTCTGAAGTTATGAACTTTTTTTTTTTTTTTTTAAATTAATACATTTGGATAATTTGCATCCTAGAGTTTTAAAAGAGTTGGCTGAGGCACAGTTTGTCTTTAATGTTGTTTTGTAATAACTCATGAAATGGAGGGAAAGTTCCAGGAGGTAGGAGGAGATCAGAGGACATGACCTAGGCGTGTATGGCTTACTCACCTCTGTGTGAACCTCAGGTAGAGCACTTGAGAGCCTCACAAAGAGCTTGATTAGGAACCATTACTGTTAGTAATGCCAATTAATATGAATTTATGGATCCTGTGCTAACACTTGATGCCTTTTTTTTATAGGACTGTAGATTTTTTAAGTAGAAAGTACTTGTTTGGGCATAATATTTCTTACTTGACGTATCATTTGACTTAGTACCTCATGATATTTTGATTTAGGAAACTAAAATAATACTTAGTAAGGGGAGAGGTACTTCTGGTGAGGTGTCACCTCTCAGCCCTCTTCATATTTTATCAGCAGCTTCTGAGAAAATGTATAGTTATCATGGGTTACTTCATCTATGTATTTGCACTGACAAAACTGCTGGGTCTTGGATGAGCTCCCTGAGGAAGATGCTGATGCATCAGAGAAGGTTCACAGAAGAGCCGTCAAAGTGACTAAAGAGAGGAGAAAAGCCTCAAAAATGGCTTAGCCTAACTGATAGATGGCTGTGGGTGACTGGATCGATAGGGGAGGATATTTAAAGGAATTTAAGTATTGAGGCTTCTTCAATTTAGCAATGAGAGACAATTGAAATTTATGACTGGAAGCTGAAGCTAACCCAAATTCACACTGGAAGTAATGTGAAAGGTTTTAGAGGAGACAGCTCACCAAAGGTTAGCTCACCAAAAGTTATAGTGTGTTTATTTTCCATTACTGATTGAAAGGTACGGCTCTAATTGGAAAAAAGGCTCAGTTCAGGAAGCTTTAAAGTTGTTTTGAGCAGCTATTAGTGTTTCTGTTCGAGCTTGCTGAAAATTGCCCCAATAATTCCCAGCTTTTGCTAAATTAGGTGAGATGGAGGAGTTGATCTCCTGCCATGTGACTTCTTCTGTTGCTAATTGCAAGGATGAGTTGATGCATGAGACAGACAGAGAGAGACTTTTATCTCAAGGTCGCTAGTCAGAGCCCAGCTGAAGAATGAACCAAGACTGTCTGACTGGCATGATGGTCTCCATTGAAATCCCAGAGGCCAACGAAGGAACAGGGCGTTCTTGTCAAGCCCGTTGGCAAGCTGAAGAGGGGAGCATGAAGACAGGTGTGTTTTAATGCTATAGCCATGAACCAAATCTTTTTTCTGGGCCAAATCTGAACAGGGGATTTATAGGAAGTTCATGTTTCTACAGCCATGGCTGTAGATGTTGTGTGAGTAAGTAGCTGCCAGTTTGGCATCTGTCTACAGCATGAAATCAACTTTAAAGTAACAGTATTTCTACCAGAGGTAAAGGCTTTTACCAGTTCAGCGTTGATGTGAAACGTAATTTAGGAACTGGGAGTGTCTAAGATAAGGCTTAGATCTTCCTGAATTAGAATCAGAGAATCACAGAATGGTTTGGGATCTTCCTGAATTAGAATCATAGAATCACAGAATGGTTCCAGTTGGAAGAGACCTTAAAGAATATTCCAACCCCCTGCCCTGGGCAGGGACACCTCCCACCAGCCCAGGTTGCTCCAAGCCCCCTCCAACCTGCCCTTGAACCCCTCCAGGGATGGGGCAGCCACAGCTTCTCTGGGCAACCTGTTCCAGTGTCTCACCACCCTCACACCAAAGAAGTTCTTTCTAGAATTTCTAATCTAAATCTCCCCTCTTTCAAGTTAAAACCATTACGCCTCATCCTATCACTACATTCCCTGATAAAGAGTGTCCCCTCCATTATTTGAATGGTGCTATTATTATTATTATTTGAGTGGTGCTATTATTTTTTTTTTTTAATTTTTCATTCTGGGCCAGGAGGATCTTAGTACCTTTGAAGATCCAATCTTGAGGCTGTACTTAAAACTTTTCTAACAAGTGTCAGTTGAGACGTTGGAAAACCCCAGGCACCTTTCACCAGCATTCCCGTTATTCTGGCACAGCTGCTAGACAATTTTATTGGCAGAAGTATCCATTTTCCATGTATAGCCTTTTCCATTAAGGAATCTCGTTAGAACATAGCCACGTAGACAAGTCCTGATTCACAGCACGTCAGCACTGACCAAAGCAAGGGCAGGAAGGATAAAGAGCAGTCATTTTCTCTCTCTCCAGGGGTTTCATATCATGGTGTTTTTCAAACTCATTAGCAGTGACTTGAATAGAGTTGCTGCCCAAAGAGATCATATAGGAAATTAACTCCTAATACCTTGTAGATGTAGTCGCCCTCGCTGATGGTGGCTATCGTAACATATGATAAGTCACCGTGGAGGTGGATGGACTTTCTGTGGTGCACAGGACATGGATTCATGTCCAACAGGGTAGGTTTAGACTGAACATTAGGAAGGAATTTTTCACAGAAGGAGTGGTCGGGCATTGGAACAGGCTGCCCAGGGAGGGGGTGGAGTCACCATCCCTGGATGTGTTTAAGGGATGTTTAGATGCGGTACTGAGGGATATGGTGTAGGGGAGGACTTTGTAGAGTAGGGTAGATGGTTGGACTCGATGATCCCAAGGGTCTCTTCCAACCTGAATGATTCTATGATTCCCAACCACTCTGCGCTGGAGCCCCATCCATCATTCATCCATCACTTCCAGGCACTGGGCATTGGAAGAATGTCCTTCCTTCCCCTCATCCCAAAGTCTGGGTTGCTGGATGGTAGCGACTTCTGCATGGGGCAATGATAGCATTTGGCCATAATGGTCTCCAGGGTACTTTTAAGGTTTTGGGGGAGAAAAACACTGATTAGCACCTTGCTTGTACGAGTAAGCACGATGGGCTGCAGGGTGTAACCTCTGCTCCCACATTAGCTGGTAGCCACTGGGTCTCTTAACAAGGTCAACAGCTTTTTTAGGTGAATTTCTGTCTAGATATTGCATAAGTGATAAGCAATCCATTTTGCCATCCTAAAGGAGAACAATCTTTGTTTTATCAGATTTCTCTTCATTCTGCTGGGACCGAAGGGAAAAGCGAAGTCCTACCATGAGATCGGCCGAGCCATCGCCACTCTGATGTCAGATGAGGTAGGTGTCTTGACATCTCCTGGGTGAGATGGGTCCTCCCAGGTTTCAATTCATTAGCTGATAACGATGGCCTTTGCTCCATTGTGTTCAGCTGGAACGGGCACGTGAGTGGGATGCACGTAAAGCTGAAATATCCAAGTGTCACCTCCTAGTTCCATCTGTTTATGTAATTATTCCACCCAGCTTCGTGTTTTTATAAAAGCATGGCTATAGGAAGGTTTTGTCCATTGTGTGCGTTTTCCTGCTAGCAATCACCCTTTCAAAGAGGCGATGAACTAATCTTTGAGTTACTCTTGTTGTGGTGTGTCACGTTCCACGATGACAGTGACCTGCAGCTACGCTCCAGGTAATTAGCGCAGAAACCGTCACGCCCAGGACACGCTCTGTGTCCCGGGGCACTTCATCATTCAGGCACTGCTCATATATTATCCATGAGCAGCCAGCAATTACTCGCTAATCGTGCACCTCCTTGAGATGACTGGGCTTTCAATATTCATTTGTGGCTTCTTTCTTCCAGCGTCCCTTGGGCTCTGCGCGTCCGGGCTGATTTACGTTATGTTTGTTTCTTCATTTCTCCTTATGTTGTTCTGCTCTCCTCTCCTACAGTTCCCTCCATTGCCATTCACCTGGTCTCAGCTCTTCTGTTTTCTGTCATTCCATAGCCCCAAAGTCCTCCTCCTGCTCTTATTAAGCCTGTCGTGTGGGCTGAGCCACCTTCACTCCATGTAGTCCAAAAGATTTCTGTAAAATTCAACATTAATGCTCTTTTTCCTCTCTTCTCTCATTCGCTCTTCATCGGTAATATTGGGCCTTTCAGTAAAACTAGTCTGTGCTTCTTTTTGAGTAAATATTGTCTTTGTTTCTAAGGTACAGTGTTGAAAACCAACCTGTTTTTTGATAGACTGAAGTAGGCAGGAAAAGAGGATCGATGCTTTTTTGTGCCTTTTTAAGAGTGGCTTCTCAGAGTATAAACAAAACTCCTTTTTTTATCCAAAAACTTTTTTTTTTGGATAAAAGAAATGGATAATTGCTTTAGCAACATTTTAAAAAGGTTAGAAATGTATATTTTGCTAAGAATTCAATATATACTGGCAAGAAAAGAATCTCTATCGTTCAATGAGCAACCAAAGGAAAGGGCTTTCCTGAAGTTCAATACCCTTGTGCCAAGTGTCCTGATACTTTTTGAGAGGTTTTTGAGAATGAATAAGTTGGTTTTGTAGAAGAAAACTCAGTAGCTGCCTCTGGAGTCTGGGCAGCAGAAAATGCAGACCTTTTTTCCATGGAGTCTCTCTTTTCCTGTCAGGTATTCCACGACATTGCCTATAAAGCCAAGGACCGGCAGGACCTGATCGCCGGCATCGATGAGTTTCTGGATGAAGTCATTGTGCTGCCCCCAGGGGAATGGGATCCAGCCATCAGGATAGAGCCCCCCAAGTCTCTTCCTTCTTCTGATAAAAGGTAGTGGTGGGAGATGGGCGGGTTTAGCTCCGTGGTGAAGGACAGTGTGCTTCAGTCCCAAGAAGGTGATGGGAAGAGCCAGTGGTTTGGGTTCACCAGATTTATCGATCAACTGCGACGTGACCTGCATCTTGTCTGTATTTAGAAAGTACTAGAGATATTTTCAGGTCTTTCTAAATAGCTGGAGGGAGGATGTTCTGAGCCTTTTAACATGATGTTGTAATCCTATAATAACAAATATAGTGGTTATCCAGCCTCTTTGGGGTTCTGCTTGGTCTTTCCAACACACCACATTCCTCTCTGGAGCCTGCTGGTCTCTTTTGTGCAACACAGCTTCAGGAAAGGCTGTGTGAGGCTCGTTTGGAGGAACTGTGTCGGGATTATGTTTTGTGGAGACCCTCACTTTAGTTTGCCTTCTTGCCTAGGAAAAACATGTACTCTGGTGGAGAGAACCTACAGATGAATGGAGACACCCCCCATGATGGAGGACATGGTGGCGGGGGCCACGGGGACTGTGAAGAGCTGCAACGAACCGGCAGGTGGGTAACGCCCCACGCGATGTGATGGATCTGGTGTGATCCCAGCAAGGTGGCAATGTCCCCTGGAAGAATCCTTGCTCCTGTTCCACTTTCCATCCCAACGTAGTTTGTGTAGGTCAAGCTGGGACCCCAACACGTGTACTGAGGATTTTAGTGCCCAGCTCGAGGCTGTCTGAAGGGTTCTGGACATCCAGCCTCAGCAAATTGCAAAGAGTCTTAAATGAGGGACTCGAAATGAAAGAAGGCCCAGGTAGGTGTTGGTTGCCCAAAGTCTGTGAATTTAGACGAGCCATAAGGGATGTAAACGTGGCGGGTGCAGCTACAGTTTCCATTGCTGGAAGTTCTTTAGCCAAAAGCAGCGACGTTCCCTTTTCCAGACTTTCTGTTGGAGCTGAATTGCAGAGATGAAGGCTTTTATGGGGTAGAAATACTGAAGGTAACAGAGCCCAAGGCCTCACTCTCTGCTTTATTACTCTGCTTCTACGCCATGTAAAAGTCAGTGAGAGTGAGAATGCAGTTCAGGTGGCCATAAAAGAGCATGCTCAGCATTTCAGGGCCAATACACAGGGTGTCGTGGTGGCCTTGTGCTCTTCCTCCCACTCGGTATTGATTTAAGTTCTCATAGAATATCTAAATTCTAGGAGAAAAGTCTGAAATGACGCCTCGGTGTGTACAAGGTGGTCAATAACATCCTGATTCTGGGTCAGAAAGTGGTGTGGGTCTGTCTGCCACTGCTCTGAGCATCTGAGCAGTCCTGGTGGTGGAGGTGAGTTGTGTACACAGGAACAAGAGGCAAAACAAGAACATTTTTCATGCCAGCAAGTGTCAGAGCCACCTGGAGTTTATAAGAGTTAAATACGGTCTTGTCTGTGATGGTACAAAAAGGAATCCTTCTGCAAGTGGAGCTGTCTTGTTCTCCAAGATGATTTCACTTACTTGGGTTTTTTTACATCTAGTTCTTTTTCTGGTTAGCAGTTTGAAGCATTTTTCCATTTAGCAGATTGTTTGGCTCACCCGACCCTCGTGTCTGCCATGTGGAGAAATTCAGGCAGGGATTTAGACTAGAGTTAATATATTTTATTACATCAACCAATATAGTTGGGGAAAAAAAAAAACAAAACCCAACAGACAAGCTTCCCAAAATGCAAACTTTAGTGGTCTGTTGCAGCAGAAGTCGGGCTTGTGTTCCTGAAATTCATCTCTTTCCAGCTGTATCACGTGTTCAAGATTTTATCTTTCTTTACAGCATTATCTCAGCCGTATTCCTGGACCGATAAGACTAGTGTGTAATCTAATGATCTCACCCCTTTCCGATAATCCTTCATTTCTGGCGATGTTTCCCATTACTGATCTTGGTGACTTTGGCTGTGAAACATTTTGCCACGGGTCTTCTCCTGCTCGTCGTTTCAGGTTCTGCGGTGGCTTGATCAAGGACATAAAGAGGAAAGCGCCCTTCTTCGCCAGCGACTTCTACGATGCTTTAAACATCCAAGCCCTTTCAGCAATTCTCTTCATCTACCTGGCCACGGTGACCAACGCTATCACGTTTGGAGGACTCCTTGGGGATGCTACGGACAACATGCAGGTTAGCAGGAGGTTCTCAGGGCAGCAAAGGTGCCACTCGCCTTCTGCTGTCTGTGGTCAGAGGGGTGTTTGGCCACCAACAAAGCTTGAGTTCTGGGTACAATTAATAGAGGTATCCTGCCTTTCCACTGGAAGTTGGCCTGCTTCTCTGCTTTGGCTTTGAAGAATTGTACGAGCAGTTACCTTATGTGGTGTTTGAAAGGTGGCCAGGCACCAGAGAAGGTCCACACTGCTTCTATATAGAGAAGTTCCTCTGATCTGCTCTCTGTGTTTGTGTCTTGGTTGGACAGTCCCAGTCCAGTTAAATTCCCTAAGTCTGATTCAGGCTTTCCATGTCAGCAGAGCACAGCCCTCTGTCCTCTGCGTGACTCTTACAAGCCCTGGACTTCTGCCTCTCCAGTGAATGGAAAATCCTAGGATTGGTAGGAAAGCGAGTCAATCAGGAGACGTGACTTGTCTCAGAGATAAGGAGAGGGGAAAAATGCGAGCTCTTTAGAAAAGACAAAATTTGTAATAGAGGAAGCTCAGATGCTGAGAACCCTGGCTCAGTTTTAGATGGAGTCTAAAGGAAAGGGGTTCTGTGTTGACACTGCCGTGGGTCCTTCGTCAACCTGAAGCAGAATGAGGCTCTAGCAGTGGGATTTAGTATTCCTTTGGCTTTTGGAAGAGGAAGAAAACGTAGGAGGTTGTATTTAGATCATTTCAGTGCAGCCACGTTGAGTCTCCTAACAATAATTAAGCTCGTAGTGACAATGTCTGAGTAATTAATTTATACTGGTTTAATTTAACCAAAGCTAAATAAGAGAGGGGCACCTCTCCAGAGCTCTGCACTTCCCCGTGATAAATTACAGGCTAGAGTAAGATTCAGTTGCTGGTGGAGTGACAGACTTCCCTCTCCCCTGTGTAAATACAATTTATCTCCTGCAAAACTCAGCAGTCGTGCAAGGAAACACGGGAGGCACAGCCTTAAAAAGAAATCATAGCAAATGGCAGCAGAGAATGGAAAGGGACCCACCAGGGAGCACCAGTCTTCTCTCTGCTCTGCCTCTGCAGGACACACAGTCTTCAGAGTAGGGGGAGTAAGGGGAAATGTTAAAATTTAGTGCACATAATCACATTATCGTGTCCAAAAGTCTTTTCTGTTACCTTTGTATCCCATGAACAGTTATTATGGAGTAGTAAAATAGGGTTTTTTGCCACTGAAATAACAGTGTAGTTTCTTAATGTTCACAAAAAAAAATAATTAGTATTTTTTTTTAAAAAAAGAAGGACCTTGCATTTCAGGAAGTTGGATGGGTGATAAGAGAAGATGGGTCTCTAGGAGAAGAGCCCGTAATCAACGCCTACAAGTATCTCAAGGGAGGGTTGAAGGAGGAGGGAGCCAGACTCTTTTCAGTGGTTCCCAGTGAGAGGACGAGGGGCAACGGGCACAAGTTGGACCAGAAGAGGTTCCACTCAAATATGAGGAGAAACTTCTTCACGGTGAGGGTGGCAGAGCCCTGGAACAGGCTGCCCAGGGAGGGTGTGGAGTCCCCTTCCTTGGAGATTTTCAAGACCCGCCTGGATGCTCCTGAGTAACATGCTCTAGCTCTAGGCAATCCTGCTTCAGCAGGGGAGTGGGACTAGATGATCTCTATGGTCCCTTCCAACTCTAGAAATTCGGTGAAATTCAGTAATCCCTGTTCTCCTGGGAAGCCCCTCTTCTGTCTGCCACCTGCCAGGGGTTGATGCACAACTGTGTTTGGTTTAATATCTCTCGTGCTGGGGCAAGGTTATTCTTCCAAGAACCCCCCATGAGCCTTCTCCATGGGGTTAGAGCCGAGTGTGCAGCTTTCCCTTGATTTCAAATGGTATTCATCTGGTGAACGTGACACTCATTTTGCCAAAGTGTGTCTCAGCCATACTTGGAGCTGTGAGCTCACATACCCTGTCCCCCGGCCCCCTGCTCCCCGTAGCCAGTTTGCCCTTAAACTTCAGTTCCCAGAAGTGGAACAAAGTGCAGGAAAATGGTCACCGAGTTGCTAGAAAAAAACATAATCCCTCCAGTCAGTCCATAACATAGCCAAGGCTCGGCGCAGGAGAACATTGACTATTATTTTCTAATTTGTGCACTTCAACATTTACTTGATTCTCACATAAAGCCACCAGTTGAATTTACGGGTTTTTATTTATGTACTGATTTAAAATTGAAGTACCAGCAGTTTCTCTGAACGGTTCACTGCTGGATGAGAGGTTCAGAGAATCTGGGTGCAACTGGCTTTTTTTTTTTGCCATCTCCCTTCAACAAACTATTCCCCATGCTTGTTTAAAAAGGCATTGGGTCTCTTGGCTGCTGCGGGAGCCTGGGAAGGGTTTTGACTACAGATTGGGAAAGATTGTGCATTCTTTACCCTTGGGTCATCAGAGCCAGAGTGAAGCATCCCAAAGTGAAGCATCCCTGCTCAGTGAGATCAGGATCCAGGTTCACATCCAGTGTTGCTCAAACTCTTGTGTATTCCCACAGTGGGAAAGGGTTTGGAAGCGTTGGGTTTGTGTAAGACACACAAAAACATGAGCTGTGATGCATCTTTAGACTCTGAAATGCAAGGGGAGGTTGTTCCTCGCCGGTGGAGCAACAGCACCTAGAAGTCCAGATATTTTATCCTCGTAGAAAATGGTAGTTTTGTGTCTACCACGTCACACTTTATACTTTTTGTTTCTTGTAAACAATTATGTGACTACTGCTGGGTCAGGCACTAAAAACCTCCCGTCCCACGCTGCCTGCCCCAGCCAACGTCGCTTTAAAAGCTCACTTCGGAGTTTTATATTTCTGAGAAAAGACACTATTCTTAGCTACAGACACGTGGAAGAATGCAGGGAAAAGAGATTCCAGATGCGCTGGCCGCGAGGGCCCTCTCGGTGAGTAATGCGGGAGGAGCCAAGGGGCTCAGCTGTGCGAACGCCGTTCCTGGCCCCCACAGCAGTTGTCTCATCCTCACCGCACCCCCAAAAGGCAGCAGCAAAGGCTCTGTGTCCCCTCTCAAAGCCTGTTGTGGAGTCTCCTTCTCTGGAGATATTCAAAACCCGTGTTCCTGTCAAACCTGCTCTGGCAGAGGGTTGGATGAGATGGTCTCCAAAGGTCCCTTCCAACGCCTTGGTGTGTAATCCATCTACACAGGTTGCAGGGCATCAGAGCAACCAGATCTAACCATCTACGCAGGTTGCAGGGCATCAGAGCAACCAGATCTCCCTCGCCCTGATGCCTCCAAGGGACAGGGCTGAGCATTTCTTGGGTCCTTAGAAATGGAGAGGACCAAGGATGTCACCTCCTGCCAAGATGAGGTCATTTCTATCCCCTTGACAGCAGCTTCTCACGCTGCTGCTCTAATTACCCAGGCAATAACAGTGCTTGACCACTGGTATTCTGAGATCATGTTTGTGGCCAGAAAAAGTGGTTTATGATTGCTTTAGAGAAAGTTCTGCTAGTAATTTAATAGATAATAAAAAAGTAATGTTCTGCTCTACATAGTAACCTCGTGGTTGGACGTACGACAGTATGAATACACTTTCCTCGGGGTAAACAGTAACTTAGGTCTTTCCAAGGAAGAAAGCCACAAAACTTAATTTAAATTCTTGCCAATGCCACTGATAAGTGAGAAAACCTGCAGCCCCGACCCTGCCGTTTGTCAGGGGTGGAGGGAAGGCTCTGCACGTGCCACTAATTGCTGGTGGCTCAGCACGTGCAGCGTTAATGAGGCTGCCAATTCAGACGTGGCTACGACGAAGCGCAAAAGCCTGTGCTTAAACCTGGCCCTGGTTGGCTGTTGGGTCATTATTCCTGGAGAGGGTTGATGCTGATGGCTGCACGTCTTGCTCGGTAGAAGATGATGCTCTTGTTGTTCCTTTAAAATGCTGTTGAGTGTAAACAGATTAGTTTCCGTAAGAGGAGAGGAGGTGAGGTCCAGCCAAACTGCCATTTTTGTAGAAGGGTGCACACTCAGTCAATAATCGCATTTTATCGCCATTTATATTTCGTCCACATTTTGCATTTTAAAAGTAGATACTGTCCAGCTATAGTTGGAGATGAAAATCCAAGAACGCATCAAGCATGCTCTTTTATCCTTCTCCAGCAAAGCTCTTTGGCCTCACATGGCAAAGGGAATTTTAGAGCCTGTTAAATATGGAATTTATTACTTGCTGGTGACATCTGATGAACTTTGGTCTCCACACGACTGCTGGATGAAGTAGCCTTGTTTGGTTTGTGTCTCACTTACTAAAACAGTTACTTGAGAGGCATCTTGTTTATCTCAAAGGAGTGTCTGCTCAATTGGAGAAAGGAAAAAAACCACTCTCTGTGGTCCTGGAGGATGTCAGCGCTGTCCTCTGGCCATCCTCTGCCCTGCAAACCAGGACTGTTACCATCAACAATGTGGGGGATGCTCAAGGAGTTCTCAAATCCTCTCAGTGGTCTTTGAAAACACTCCCCTCCCCTCGCCAAATAGAAAATTAAGTTCATGGAGATGCTGGGAGGGCTGGAGCCCCTCTGCTGGGAGGACAGGCTGAGAGAGTTAGGGGGTTCAGCCTGGAGAAGAGAAGGCTCCAGGGAGACCTTAGAGCCCCTTCCAGTCCCTCAAGGGGCTCCAGGAAAGCTGGGGAGGGACTCTGGATGAGGGAGGGGAGCCCTAGGAGGAGGGGGAAGGGTTTGACCCTGAAAGAGGGGAGATTTCGATGAGATAATGAGGAAGACCTTGTTTGGTGTGAGGGTGGTGAGAGCCTGGCCCAGGTTGGCCAGAGAAGCTGTGGCTGCCCCATCCCTGGAGGGGTTGAAGGGCAGGTTGGAGGGGGCTTGGAGCAACCTGGTGTGGTGGGAGGTGTCCCTGCCCAGGGCAGGGGGCTTGGAATGAGATGATCTTTAAGGTCCCTTCCAACCCAAACCATTCTATGATTCTATAAAATACAATATAGCATTATTAAACTCTGGACCTCAGAAATAAGAAGGGGGTTTGTTGGTTGTCCTGAGTAACTATGAATTTGTGGGATGAACACAAGGTTGTGTGCAGCAGGAGAGGGCAGAAGATGGTCTTCCCTTAGTCTTGGACATACCGGCGTGCAGGACACGACCGGTCCCTGATGTAACTGCTCGTTTTCTTGCAACAGCACTAATAGAAAGGGTTATTTGGTGGAATTCACTTCTCCCTGTGTCTACCCTAGGGCGTGTTGGAGAGCTTTCTGGGCACGGCAGTCACCGGTGCGATATTTTGCCTTTTTGCTGGTCAGCCTCTCACCATTTTGAGCAGCACAGGACCCGTCCTTGTCTTTGAGCGGCTTCTCTTTAATTTCAGCAAGTAAGTACCGGGGTGGAGGGGGGAGGAGGGGAGGAATGTCTCGCACTAATGAAATACCAGCTGGGGAATGAGATGGCCAGTGGTGGGGAAGGAGGGGATTTAGTGCCTGGAATGAAACATCTCTTTGTTGCTCGTTGAGATTGCAGAGCAATCACATCAGGGATTTTCCAAGGCACGCATGTCCCAGAGCGTTGGTTGCCCGCTGTGGGGGCACGTGTGTCCTCTTGGAAGTCCTTGGCCAGGTCTGTCCTCCATGAGAAGGTTGCAGTGGTTACCATCGGTGTGTTCCTCCTCTCCAGCCAAGCGTGGGCTTCCCTGGCTGCTTCCCGTAGGGGCAAAGAAAGGAACCCAGCTCTTGGGGATTTCACTAACAAAATCCCACAGGTCTCAAAGTTACCACAAATTTGTCTTTAAATATGTACTCATTTGAAATAATCACCATTAGGGCAGGCTGGATGGGACTTTGAGCAACCTGGTCTACTGGGAGGTGGGGTTAGAACCTCACAGCAGGAGGTTGGAACTAGATTGGTCTTTAAGGTCACTTCCAACCCAAACCATTCTGTGATTCTATACTTGCAAAAGTACCAAAGTTAGATGTACCAAAGCAGAAGTACCTATGACAGAACAGCTCTTGATCTCTGTTTGTCCCCAGAATTCCTCAGCAGAGCTTTGCTGCCTTACGTGCTCTTGGGGTTTTTTTTTTTCCCCTTTTAACTGGTATCACGAGGTTCTGCTCCCTCCCCACCAAGTTAACGTTGGTGCAGGGATGGTGGCTGACACCCAGTGCTAAAAGTAACCCATTTTGTTTGGTGTTCTCATTTAGTATTCCCACATCTGCAATGCTGGAAAAATTAGAATCACAGAATCTTAGTGGTTGGAAGGGACCTCCGAGATCATCGAGTCCAACCACGTTAAAAAAAAAAAAACAAAAAAAACCCCAACCAACAAACCCAAAAACAGCACCCGCCAACTAAACACCACACCCACAACCCCACACACTACACCCCACCACAAACCAATAATCTTGGGCACTAGAGCATGCCCTGAAGAGCCATGTCTACACGTTTCTTAAATCCCTCCAGGGATGGTGACTCCACCACCTCCCTGGGCAGGTTGTTCCAGTGCCTGACCACCCTCTCAGGAAAGTCATTCTTCCCAATATCTAATCTAAACCTCCCCTGGCCCAACTTCAGACCATTTCCTCTGCTCCTGTCCTTATTCCCTTGGGAGAAGAGGCCAACCCCCACCTCTCTACACCCTCCTTTCAGGTAGTTATAGAGGGCCATGAGATCTCCCCTCAGCCTCCTCTTCTCCAAACTGAACATGCCCAGTTCCCTCAGCCTCTCCTCATAGGACTTGTTCTCCAGACCCCTCACCAGCTTGGTGGCTCTCCTCTGGACACTCTCCAGCAGCTCAATGTCCTTCTTGTAGTGAGGGGCCCAAAACTGAACACAGCCCTCAAGGTGAGGCCTCACCAGGGCCGAGTACAGAGGCACGATGACTTCCCTACTCCTGCTGGCCACGCTATTCCTGATACAGGCCAGGATGC